CCAATTCGATGGTTAAATGACCGTTTCCACTTCCAACATCGAGAATTCGCGAGTCAGGCGGGATGCCAATGTCAGACAGGTATTTGAGCACACGTTTTTCGCTCTGTTGACCAAACCTTAGGGGGAATAAAATGTGGTCGTTGGACCTACCAGATGTCCCCTACATCACCAGCTTCGTCAAAGTTCTGCAGTTCCCTTTCATAGTGGCTCTCCCAACTGTCGGTTAAACGGAAAATTAGGGTGAATGGTACTTACTAAGCCTTCGTACCCAATTCGGAGGGTTCAAAATCACCCATGAAGAACAGAGTTCTGTAATAAAAGCGAAATAGAAAACCTGTTTCATTTATTGGTAAAGTAGGGCTTTTGCTATCTGTATAAAGGAAAATATTTAGAAGAGCAAGAGGACGGGGAGAAACTCCAACAAGAGCGAAATTCACAAACAATAGGGCTGACCAGACGGATGGCTGGTACACGCGAACTTTTGTGAGCATATTGAGCTGAATACACTGGCGCTTTTTCTGGACTGCGAAAGCCCGAAGAACGTCTATTCAGCATATGATTTCGTCATTACTCTGTCTTTTCGACAGCAGAACTGGCCAAGGCAGCTTAAACTACATACTATATTATATAGTATACACACTATAATCAGAATGACATTACCGACGAAGGGAAACTGGAATGGCCATTTCTGGCTTATTGGCCGTCATCTGCCTTTCATACACAATCCCAGGGTGGCGACCCCCGGGGTTCGAACCAACCACTATTGGTTATTGAATGCAACAAGTCGGTGAGTCTCTTACTTCCATCATTCTCCTGTATAATTAGCCTATACCGATGGTCGCCTTGCAGCGCGGCTCGGGAGTGAGCCCGAAGACACAAAGGGGGCGAGTGAGTCCTATGAGTGTGTATATTCCCGATCGAAAAGCGGCAAGGCAACGAGCCCGTGGCGCACTGGTTAGAGCATTAGGTCGCGGGCTCGAACCTTAGGCTAAGTTAGGTATGGGTAGCTGGTGACGTTAGTAGGCCAGAAATGGCCATTCTAGTCTCCCTTATCTTTGCGCGTAGTGTCATTCTGCCTATATAATTAGCCACCTCGTGGCGCAGCTAGAGAGTGAGCCTGAAAGGCACAAAAACGGACGAGTGAATCCTGCAACCTATCGGTGAGCGCCTCTTTGTCAGTGTACCATACTATATTATCTCCAGGGCGCCCTCTCGTGTCCAGGGATCCAGGTAATAAAAACTTGGGTGTTTTCA